TTTTTTACACCTTCCCTTCCCACTTTCCTCCAACTCTATCTACCCCTCCTCAGCTGATGGCTCAGAAACATAGAAACTCCAAGGCTGGGGTCTGGCACACAGAAGCGTCCAGTGCATGGTGGTCCCTGCCCCTGCCTGAGGTGCACTTGGACCCGGAGGCTGACAGCTCTGTGGGGCTCTGTGAGCAGGATTTTAGGGAGGCCTAAAGGCCACCTGAGAGCCGGCTATTGATAACTCTTCAGGCAGGGCCACTGGGGTTTTTGTATACCTGAAAAATCACTGACTTTCTGAGGAAGTAGTGTGGGTTTCTTTTAAAATTTTTACTTTCCCTAAAATTAATGTGAATGATGCTGCTGATAAAGGCTTCCCTTATTGGGCACTTATTTCACACTAGACAGTCTGCTAAGTCCTTCCCAGCACTACCTGATTTAATTCTCACATCAAGCACTAGTGCCCCCAGGCCAGTGCAGATGAGGACACTGAAGCCATTTGCTGAGGTCACCCGGCCGGACATGGTGGTGTGAGGTCCTAACTGTGTTCTGAACCAGCACATGCACCTGCTCCCTCAGAGAGGCTGCTCTGGTTTCCGGTGCCCAAGGTGCTGTTGTACATTCTCCCCCAGCCTCAAGATGACATTAAATTCACTTTAACCTAATTGCTTTATAAAACATAAAACAAATACTGAAATACACACATTTTATTGAGGCAGCCAGGGAGGAGTTTGTAGTCACCAGTCAAACAAGCAGGTGGTACACTTCCCAGAGTGTTTAGGGGAGTCCCCTTGGTCTTGGCATCACCTTTCTGGCATTCCCATCAAGCTCCCCCCCCTTCCTGTCCCATTACCCGCGCCCCATAGCTACCTCCCACGCCAGGGGAGGGCACAGCTCTCTTCCTGGCGCTCTTGTTGAAAGCCCAGATTTCACATTCAGGATTAGAGCTCCACCACCAGATCTGCCCCTCCAGGGACCCCTGATTTGGTCCCTGCTTCCCTGTCCTTAGCAAGCTGAGGGTTCTCACCACTGACCTTCACTCAGGCTCTGGGACAGCCTGCAGCCCAAGGTAAAAGCCACAACACCCAGATCCTATCTACCTGCTTACATTACAAACAGAGGACTGCTCAACCTTCACGAGCACTCAGACTCGAGAGAATGAGAGTATCCTGGGGCCGCCCAGGCTCACCACTCTGTGTCTGCCAGCTTCCTAGGGGCACTCAGGGAAGGGATGTCCCTGGTGGATTGCTTCTGCAGTCCCACTCAATGTGCTGCAGGATCCCTGAGCTTCCCAGTCTTCAGAATCCCCACATGTCCAGCATCAGCTCCCTCGCCACTGGCTCTCAGAGGCTCTCCCTGGTCTACGTGTCTTTTCAAACTCTTGACCTCACCACCTCCCCTTTCATTTTCAACACACTGGTTTGCTTCCCATTTCCTGAGAGGCAAGACTATGTGGATGAACTTCCACGCCAATGTCTTATAAGTGTGTCTCAATTATACCCCCGGTCTCTTCCTTCTATCTTTCTCGGTCAGCTCGGATTGCCGTAACAAACACCACGGAGTAGGGGCTGAGGCAACACACACTTATTTCTCACAGTTCTGGACACTGAAGTGTAAGATCAAGGGCCAGCATGGTGGGATTCTGGTGAGAGCCCTATTTTTGGCTTGCAGATGTGTGCTTTGGCCTCCCACGGTCTTTCCTCTGAGCAGGTGCAGACAGAGAGATAGAGAGTGAGTTCTCTGCTGTCTCTTCTTAGGACACTAATCCTGTCAAATCAGGGCCCCACCCTTATGACCTTATTTAACCTTAATTACCTTCTTATAGGCCCCATCTCCAAATACTGCCACACTAGGGGTTAGAACTTCAATATACCAATTTTGAGGAGATACAAACACTCCATTCATAATACCATCCGAGTGAAATAGAGGCTTTATTCCTGCCCATGCTAGTCCCTATACATGTGCTCCTGATCCCTGCCCCACCATCCTTAGTGACTTCCGTTCTGAGATGACACAATGCAGCCGCTGTGCCCAATCTTTACCATCTTTGTCTTGACTGTTTTTTTCCATCAGCTGGTCAGCTTGCTCAAGTCTGTCCAGCCCAGGTGGTAGAGGGCCTTCCCTCTGCACTCTAGGCCCTTCTAGCCACAGTTCCACCCCTGCCCCCTGATGGCCAGCTTCTTGGAAGCAGCTTCCACTCGTTTCTCAGCCCTGCAATCTGGCTTCCACCCCACCTGAAATCAGTCTCACCGCTGGCCTTCATTTTGCCACATTCACTACACACGTTCCAGTCCCGGTCCTACCTAGGGTGACCACGTGATTTATGAGAGGGATGCAACATCATGAATGATGACATTGGGGCAGCAGGCATACGTGTGGACTGTCCTGGGCAAAGAGGAGCATGGGACCCGGCCTCTTGGAGGCACTGGGTGGCAGGACCCCCCTTCCTTTCCTTTCCCCCTTCCCTTGGCTTCTGCCTTTTGCGGCCTCCTGGTTCCCAGCCTGCCTCTCTCGCTGGCCCTCAGTCTTCTCAGCCTGAGGGTCCATTCCCCAGGCTCTGTCTGTTGCCCTTGCTCCCTTCAGTCGGCCTGCTCTGACTGTGTGATCGTCCTTGGCAGACCCACCAAGACAGAAATTCAATCTTCTAACCAAAGTTATCTTACCCCAACTCGCAAGCTTATGTCTTTCTCTGTTCTTGAAACTATTGAGGCACCCAAACCAGACTCACCGGAGCCACACTGTCCCCTGCCTCACCCCCACACTCAACCCATGTCCTAAAAGATCTGCCACCTCGGGGCCCTCTTCTTTATGGTGTGTTGCTTCTCTGAGCACAACACTTCTTCCTCACTGCACAGCTACGTGGTGTAGCCACCTCCTGGAAACGCCCTGCTGTCACTTTTGGTCCATCATGATCTGGCTGCTGCTTTCACCATGCATTCTGGCCATTGGAGACCATGAGCTTGAGGGGCAGGAACCGTGTCCCTTTTGCCTTCATGTCCCCAGTGATGAGCAGATTGCTGGGAATATAGTAGGTGCCCAATAAAAATTTGCTGAAATTTTGCATTTGGATTGGTTGTAAGATAAGTTCCCTCCTCTTTTTTTTCACTGTATAGACTAGACTAGTGTTTCCTTTTTCCCTAGATGCCAGTTAGCTTTATTAAAAAAAAATTTTTGCCACAAAGTAAAACTCTTTCCAGTCTCAAGTTGGCAAGCGAGTAATTATATTATAAAATGTGATAGGTAAAGTGAATTCTTCAGAATTCAATAGGTTTGTATTCTATCTCCTCCCAGATTTTATCTTTTCAGATTCGAGTTCAAAATTCAACTCTAAACCAGCTTACAGATTGCTCTTTGACACCCTCCCTCTTATTTGGGGTTTGCTCCCTTATCTCTCTCTGCAGACTGGATTTCTCTGTTGCTTCATTTAGGACAGACTAGGCTGTGCCACAGCTTCGAAGCTTTCAGGCTTCAGGAATGGGACAGAGAGACGTTGCTCCCAATTCCAGTAGCAAGTATCCAAGAGAGGGAAGCTGACTGTCTCAAATTGGGTGAAGTCTTCTCCCTTAGTCTGATCAGTGATATGGGACCTCACAGCCCAAACCAAACTACCTTGTGCTGAAGGGGTCTTTCCTGGGGTGGGAGTGGGGGGAGTTGTTGGCAGAAAGGCTGAGAAGACATCTCAAAGTATGTTTACCATCTAAGAAAGCTCCAAAGCAAGGGACGGTGGAAGCAGCGGGCCAGCCATGACTGGGTGCTGAGTGAGAAAACAAAGGGTGACCCTCCCTACCAGAGACACTATTAGATATACAAAATCTCAGAAAGTTTACAACTTAAGCGCCTTTTCTAAAAAACAACAAGTGTAGGTTATGCTCTAACAAAGCCAAAATGGAATCTCTAACATGGGATACAGAAGAGTGGGATTCACCCAGCATGGCCATGGGCAGAAGTCGACTCCAGAGTTCTGCAACAGACCAAAGAGGATTTGGTTTAGAAAGTCAGAGCTCCGTGGGGCCAGTCCCAGAGAAGCTCGTTGGCAATATTACCCGCGTTGTTCCATCCAGAACCTGCGAGTACAACCAGGACATGTAAATGGACGCGGTGAAGGCCTATGAATTTTGTGATGAACTAGAAGAAAGAGCGTGGTCGGTGTGGCTCAGTTGGTTGATTGTCGTCCCGTGAACCAAAAGGTCTCCAGTTGGGTTCCCGGTCAGGGCACATGCCCGGGTTGTGGGCTCGATCCCCAGCGGGGGAGTGCAGGAGGCTGCCCATTGATGTTTCCACCTCTCCCTTCCCCTCTCTCTAAAGTTAATTTAAAAACGCCCGTCCAGGCGTGGCTCAGCAGTTGAGCATCAACCTAGGATCCAGACGGTCGGGGTTCAATTCCTGGTCAGGGCACATGCCTGGGTTGTGGGCTCGATCCCCAGTCGGGAGCGTGCAGGAGGCAGCTGATCAATGACTCTGTCATCATTGATATTTCCATCTCTCTCCCTCTCCTTTCCTCTTTCTGACATCAATAGATATATTTTTAAAAAATAAAAATAATAAAAAATAAAATTAATTAAAAAACATATTAAAAAAGGAAGGAAGAAAGTCAACTTAAAATTCCAGAAAAAGACGAAAGTTGTATGAAAAGTTTTGTGGTCCAAGTATTTTAAAACTTTTACGTGATTTTAGCAATATTTTTAAAATTCTGGATGTAAAGATGGCTTGGACTGAAACTGTGAAACTGTTTTTGTTTGGTTAATTTAAATAATGACTATCCCCCAACCTGAAACTCTGTAGGGGTCCCCAGCCACCAGTCATCTTATTAGCATATAAAGAGTCACTCATCACAGGAGATTCCAAGGGTCTTAGAAGCTCCTGTATCAGGATCTGGGGATTAAGAGCAAATATTATGACAAAAGATGTTCCCCTCACCCCATCACTCAGGAAATTACAAGGCCTCCAGGAGCACCGTGTCGGGAACCTGGGACAAAGACCACATGTATACTCATTTCTTATCTTATCGCAATGTCGCAGCGGGACGTCCAGTTTGAAACCGCAGGCTAACCGCAGGTGTCTGTCTGTTCTTCGTGGGGATGCCCTTAAAGTGACAGCGAGGGAATAAAAAATGAAAAGACTTTAAAACCACAAAGTCAAAGAGAACAAGACAAGGGACACGGAAGCAGAGATTTCTTTTTCTTTTCTTCTTTTCCGATGACTGTTTTTTATTTTTGTGGTTAGGTTATTTTTTGGTCCTACACATGAATGCGAATGAGAGGGTAATGATAGTAATAATAACATCCATAGCATTTCTGCATCTGTAACGTTTCCTTTCTTCCATTCCTTTCCCCATCACCACTTATCCCTTCTACGCCCCCGCTACCCCCCCAGGCTCTCGGCCTGCCCTCTCTCTCTCTCTCTGTCTGTCTGTCTCTATTTTGCTCCTTAGTTCAGTTTGTTCATTAGATTCCACATAAGGAAGCGGAGGTCTCAAGAAATCTTCTGGAAAGGAAAGCGGGTGAAGCAGGGGTGGCCGTTTAGGAGAAGGGGCCTAAACGCCTGCAGCGGGAGGAGGGGACGTCCGTGGGAAACTGTGGGGTCGGCCTGCAGCCCCGGAAAGGCCGGGCACAGGAGAAGCACCCCGCAGACCCGCCGGGCCGTCCTCCATCTGATCGTCTTACAGCGAAGGCCTCCGGTCCCCAAGCGGCTCAGGCCCACAGTGGTTCCCAGGGCCACGGGAGTGACTCAGGCTCAGATGCGACACGGAGGAAAGTCTCAAACGTGGACACCAACACACAGAAGAGAAGAAGCAGAGACCATGCAGAGGGGAGGGAAACCCCAAACACAAGAGCAGAGCCAATAGCCCGTCCTTCAAAGGTTCCCTAAAAGGCTGCCGGAGCCGGGGAGGGAGCGTGGGGCAGAGGGTACCATGGACAGGAGTGGTCAGGGAATCGGAAAGCCTGTGGAAATCGAATGCATGATGACAAGACGCTCATTAGAAAACTTAGGCGATGCCAAGGAAACATCCCAGAGAGATTCCGGAGACGGGGTGAAGAGTGAGAAAGGTGATCAGAGGGTCCCCCCAGGGTGGTCACTGTTCGACCTGCAAGTCCCGGGAAGGCAGAAGAGAGACGAGGAGGGGGCACATAAAATAAATAGCACTATTTTTAAATTCCCAGAAAGTAAGAACTCAAATCTTCAGATAGAAATGCCCACTGAATATCTAACCAATAAGTAAAAAAGGAACCATTTCCTTGAGAAATTTTAACATAGCTGAAAACAAAGAAAAATCCTAAATATTTCTAGAAAGAAAAGTCATACACAACAGATTTGAAATCAGAAATAAATTTCTTATCAACCACACAGGAGAGAGAAGGAGGAATGCCTTGAAAATCTGGAAGAAACGTTCCTTTCAACCTAATGTGCTCTCCAAGATTCAAACGTTGACCTCCTGCGTGCACTTTCTTAGGACGTTTCTAGAGAAGGTGCTTCTGTGAAGCAAGGAAGCAAAGCCAGGAAACAGACGTGGACTCTAGGAAACGGAGGTCCAGCCCCGGGAGTTGGGGAGAGGGTACCCCAAGCCACAGCCAGCTGCCAGGCCCAGACTGGAGCAGGAGGGAGAGGCTGTGGGAGAGGGCTGCGGAGGTAAAACAAAGAACTGTTGATAGACGGCCGGCAGAGCTGTTGGCGTACTCGGAAATTTAGCCCTACATAGAAAACTAATCAAATGAAACGACAAAGTAACGATTGACCTCAGGAAAGACAAAATGTACAAGAGGAGACATAATCATTTTACAGACTAGACTCAGCGCTGAACAATATTTCATAGTCAAAATAAATCATTGTAAATACAGATCAGGCATTTAGAAATTAAGTCAAAAGGAGGCTGTGTAATACATGAGGAGAGAAGTGTATGTGGGGAGATCAAAAAGCATCTAAACCTTTACCTTCCATAGCAGGTAATGTCTTAAATGAATAAACCAAGAAATAGCTGCAGAGGAATATAATTGTCAAGTATGGAGATACAAACGGGGATCCACAGCTAAACAGAACTGGAAGTGACTGCAGCCGGCGGCAGGTAGAGGCTGGGGGAGGGACGGCTCCCTTTCATTGCCAATGCTTTGATACTAGGACAAGCAAACGTTTTTTAAGTACTTATACAAACTTGATATTTTTAAAAAAATGGTTTAAAGGAAGCTTTTAAGGACTAACAGCTCTTGTTTTGAGAAACATTTTAAATAAATTTTAGCAATGCTTTCATATTCACTTGTCTCCCCTGTGGATTTTAAGTAAAATTACATTTAATACTTTAAAATTTATTAAGTATATAGAGATATCAATATAAATATACACACGGCTGCTAAGTATCAGTCTCTCCTCCCCTTCTGGAGCTTCCTTCAGATCCTAAGGGGGTTTCTTCCGCTGCAGGCCCCTACCCAGCAGTTGCTCCACTGAACACACCGTCCCCCAGCACTCCCGGCAGCCCTGAGGCCCCCTGTCCTCCACGGCCGGTCACCGTCCCATCCGGAATACTGTTGCTGTCACACATCAGGGGACACCACCCACTTCTTTAGTTAGAATACCACCAGTGCACACAATTATCTTGACTTATTAAGTTTTAATGGAAGGACCAAGGGTAAAAGAAATAAGTCACCAGGGTCGATGAGGGTGTAGAGAGATGGAAACCCTTGTGCACTGCTGGTGGGAGTGTGAAAGGGCGTAGCTGCCGTGGGCAGCGGTTTGGTGGGTCCTTAAAAAAGCAAACATAGAAAAAAAAGTAAACATAGTATTACCTTATGATTCAGCAATTCCACTTCTGACTATATACCTAAAAGAGTCAAAAACAGAGGAGAGGAGAGAGGAGGGAAGGGAAGGGAGGGGAAGGGAGGAGAGATATTTGTGTCCCCATGTTCAGAGCAGCACTATTCACAGCAGCCACCAGGTGCAGACAGCCCAGGTGCCCATCAGGAGTTGACTGGATGTTCAAAATGTGCTCTATACATGCGGTGGAATATTATTCAGCCTTAAAAAGGAATGAAATTCTGGTAGATGTTACAACATAAGAGTGAAATAAGCCAGACCCAAAGGAACACATACTGTATGATTCCACCTGTATGAACTACTTAGAATAGGCAAATTCATAGAGTCAGAGAGCAGAATAAAGGTCACCAGGAGCTGGGGGGAGGAGCAATGGGGAGTTAGTGGTTAATGGAGACAGAATTTCTGTTGGGATGTTGAAAAAGCTCTGGAGATGGATAGTGATGATGGTCGTACAACATTGTAAATGTATTGAATGCCACCGAATTGTATATTTAAATATGGTAAAAATGGTAAATTTTATGATATATATATTTTAGTACAACTTAAAAAAAAAAGAAATGTAGGATTAGAAAATAAAGTTAAACTGTCCTCTGATTATTTTTCGATAGTTTCAGGGGAAAAACAGCCAGGAAGTTGAACTTGCCGTGGAGGGGGTGGTTCCCATTACTGGTGTTCTCTCATTTCTAATCTTGCTCCTTTGCTCTCAAGAGTCGTCTTTGTGGAATATCCACAGTCTTCAGCCTCCAGCAGTGCAAACTGCCACCCACTTTTGGGAAGCTTCACTCCTTGTCTACTCACATTGATGCTGCCCTAGAATCTATTTCCCACCCTGTGTCAGTCAGCTATGCTCATAACAATCACAAAAATCTCCGTGGAATACAGCAACAGATGTTATTTCTCTTACTGATTACAAGCGAGCAAGAGTTCGATTGATCAACCGTGATATTGATGGTGATACAGTCAAGGTACAGAGCATTTCTATTACCCAAGGAACCTCATGGTGCCCCATTACAGTCACACTCACTTCCCTCCCAGGCCCACCCCTTCTTTAACTCCTGACAACCACTCATACATTCCCCATTTCTATAATTATGCCACTTCAAGGATGTTATATAAATGTAATCATATAGTATGGAACCTTTTGGAGTTGGCTTTTTTCATTCAGCATACTTCCCTGGAGATTGAGCTAGGTTGGTACATGTATCAATAGCTTGTTCAGCATCTCGGATCTATAAGTTTATGTCTCTTGTCAAATTTGGGTAGTTTTCAGCCCCACCCTCCTTCTCTACTTCCTTCTAAACTAATATGAGTTTCAGATGCACTTCCATTTATGGAGTATTAGTGTAGGGTTGACAAGAGAGCATAAAGCCTTGTCCTTTGCCAAAGTTGGTTTCTGAAATCGAGATTCCTGGGTGAACAGTCTTGGTCACATCTCCTAACCACTGTGGGCCTTGGTTTCCTTTTCTGTTTCTCTTCATAGGGTTATTTTTAATTTTTATTACAGTTGACATTCAATATTATTTTATATTAGTTTCAAGTGTACAGCATACTGGTTAAACATTTATATAACTTATGAAGTGATCCCTCTATAAGTCTGGTGCCCACTACTATTGACTATATTCCCTATGCTGTACCTTATATCCCCATGGCTGTTTTGTAATTACCAATTCGTACTTCTTAATCCCTTCACTTTTCTCACCCAGCCCCATAAAGTCAGCTATCAGTCTGTTCTCTGTATCTATGAGTCTGTTTCTATTTTGCTTGTTTATTTTGTTCATTAGATTCCACATATAAGTGAAATCATATGGTATTTGTCTTTATCTGGCTTATTTCACTCAGCACAGTACCCTCTAGGTCCCTTCATGCTGTTGCAATAGTAAGATTTAATTCTTTTTTATGGCTGAGTATATTCCATTGTATATATCACCACATCTTCTTTATCCAGTTGTCTACTGATGGACACTTAGGCTGCTTCCATATCTTGATTGTTGTAAATAATGCTGCAATGAATATAGGGGTGCATATACTATTTTGAAATAGTATTTTGGATTTCTTCAGGTAAATATCCAGAAGTGGAATAGTGGAATTGCTGGGTCATAAGGTAGTTCTTTTTTATTTTTAAATCCTCACCTGAGGATATTTTTTCCATTGCTTTTCAGAGAGAAAGGAAGAAAGAGAGAGAGCGAAAAGCATTGATGTAAGAGAGACAAATCAATTAGTTGCCTCCCAAATGAGCCCTGATTGGGGCTGGGGGTCGAGTGAGCCTACAACTGAGATATGTGCCCTTAGCTGGAATCAAACCCACGACCCTTCAGTCCCCAGACTGATGCTCTAACCACTGAGCCAAACTGGCCAGGGCAGTAGTTCTATTTTTAATTTTTTGAGGAACCCCCATACTGTTTTCCATAGTGGCTGCACCAATTTGCAATCTCACCAACAATGCATGAGGGTTCCCTCTTCTCCACACCCTCACCAACACATGTCGTTTGTTGATTTATTGAAGGGAGCCATTCTGACAAGTGTGATGTTTTAATTCTCATTGTGGTTTAAATTTTCGTATCTCTGATGCTTAATGCTATTGAGCATCTTTACATTTGGCTATTGATCATTTATATGTCTCTCTTTAGAGAAATGTCTATTAAGGTCGTCTGTCCATTTTGTTTTTTTAAAATTTATCTTCATTGTTGAAATTATTACAGATATCCTTTTTTTCCCCCCATTGACCCCCTCCCCCCATATCCACCTTCCCCCCC